CTCTTTTTGTCTCTCTTCCATTTCTCATTGTTCTGTGGCTTTTGAGATTGTCCCTCTGTGTGGCAGGGAGGAATCTACTGGTGTCAGCAGTGGGGAAGTGGCCCTCTAGCTGGCTGCACTGGAGTTAGGTGTTGGCGTCTGTCGGGGAAGGGATGAGAAGTGTTCACAGCCAGTACAAGGCCTGTGTGCTCCATATCCTTCCTCCCGGTGCTCTCCCCTCAGCCTCCACACCTGCCGTCTCTCCCTGGACGGAAGGGACACAGACGAATGTCATCTCTCCTTCAGCAGCATCTAACCTTCAGAGGCCCGAATGCCGTGCTACATTTTTATTTGGTGTATTTCACTTGCCTCCTTTTGTCCTAGTTTTCCAGCATGTTACCTGCCTGCCAGGATGGGGGTCATTGTCCCGGGGCAGTGAGGGCTTGGGGCAGCTTCTGCCTGTCAGTTGCCCCCAGAACACATGGACCTCTTGGGCAGCCAGCGTGGCTGACCCTGCATCCATGTTTTGGCACAGTTGGCTCTTTCGGACCCAAATATGCTGAGGACCCAAAATCTGTACTTTCGAAAGTTACCATCACAAGAGGACATTTTGCCCTGCCTTGGCTGGGGAGGCCTCTCCCTTCCTCTTCCTCTTCCCTCCCAGGTGCAGGGCGGTGGCTGGCTGCTCTGGAGTCCTCCCTGGATGCTGGCAAGAGACGGCCGAGCGAGTCTCTGGCTGACTCCTGCGGGGCTGGGCGGTGCAGCAATGGTGACCCAGCCGTCAGCCTTGCCAGCTGCCTGGGTAGCTCTGTGCTCATGACCTGCCTTCCATTTCTCTCCTGCTCCAGTCTGAGCAAGTCCTTCTGTGCGGAGAAAGGTCCTTTCCTCCTTTCTCACCATTTCTCTCCAGCTTAGTTCCTCCCCTCAGTCCTTTCCTCCCTTCTCTACAGACCTGGGACTTTGGAAACCAGAGCCCACACACCTTGATTTCTCTTGTCACTGTGCCATTCCTTCCCTGAAGCAAAGGGCACAGGAAGGACAGTGGTGGCGAACCTGCGGCATGTGTGCCACAGCAGGCTGTTCGTACCGGTGAAAGCCCTAAAAGGTTTGCCATCCCTGCCCTAGGATGTCCCAGCTGCTTTCTGTGGGAGGCAGAGGAGAAATACCAGGCCCCCGTTCTGTGGGCAGTGTTTCCACAGTGCATCCAGCCCTGTGGGCTTCCTCCCAGGCCCCCTGAGGTTGAGGTAGGCTTAGGAGCTTTCTGTGCCTACCAGTCCAGGGCTGAAGAGATTCACAGCCTCGTTGACCAGTGTAGGTTGATTTACATTCATGTGACTCTCCTGAAGTCCCTTCCCCCTCGCATTTTCATGGTGCCAGGAATGAAGGGAAGAGCTGGGATAAACATAGAATGGAGGCGTGTCTGCCACCATCAGCAGCCTGCTAGCCCTGGGGCCTTGGATTCTACACTTCCTTCAAGCACTGAGGAGCCCTTGGGGAGGGACAAGACGAGGCTGGAGGGGTCTTGGTTTTCCTGGAAAGTGTTTGGTCACAGCCTTCCCAGGCCTGCGGCCATACAAATAGCTTTCTTGGCGATGAGCCTGTGCCAGGGAGTCTCCCCAGTCTTCGGTGTGTCTGGAGATTTTTGTCTTGAGACCTGGCTGGAAGGGAAGAAGATAATCTTCAATGTACAAAGGTGGCATTGTGCTCTCTCCAGTGTGAGCACATATCCATCAGCAACAGCTCCGGAGGCTAATTGGGGGTTTTGCCGGGGAAGTGTCACCAGGATTTGTTGAGTCCTATTAACTGAGTCCTATTAATTGCCATTGGAAGGTGACGAGTGATTGCAGAAGTCTTCTTAACCATGGGTTACCCCTGAGGAGTGGTGGGAGCTGCCGCTCAAGTTTCTCAGGCAGGAACAGGGTGCTGCATTGGGAAGGCAGCTGGGCCTCCTTCTAGGCTATGACTAGAAGGGAAAGGAGGCTGCATGGTTGAGCCACACCTGGGCAGAGGCATAGTAGGGGGTAGGTTTGTTTTCTGCCAAGCCCTGGAGGGATTTTCAGGACCCAAAAGTGCCGTCTAAAGGAACTTCAAAAAACGGGCCAGAAGGGGTCCAGCATAATTCATCAACTACCTGCTCATTGGCCATGTGCTGGAACTCAGAAACAGACTCGACTCCCCCATCCTGTTTTTTTTTTTTTTTTTTTTTCTCCAATGCTGGGAACAGAACCCAGAGGGTACTTAGCTGTATCTCTAGCCCTTTTTACTTTTATTTTATTTGGAGATAGTCTCACTAAGTTGTCAAGGTGGCTTCAGATTTGCAGCTCTCCTACCTTAGCCTCTTAGTGTGCTGGGGTTACAAATGCGCTACCACACCCCACTGCGACCTGGCCCCCTCTGCCCATGGATCTTTCCCATAAGCAGTGGAGCCAGGCACTAAATGCCTAGACACTAAGTGTGTACATTGAAGTCATGGGTGGAATGATGACCAGCGTGTAGAGGGAGCCACAGAAGACAGGAAGGGCTTTGGAAGTATGCATGTCTCAGGGGAATTTTGTGAGTTTTCAGGGAGGGTCCGGGCCTTTTCTGCTCCCCATCTGTCCGTGAGTCCCATCAGGTTCCATTCCTCACTGTCCTGTTTGGTGTCTCCAAAATCTGTCTCCCCTGTGTGGTTAATTCAATGTGGGCATGTTCTGGGGGCAGGTGAGGGTGCTTGTCTGTGCCTGAAGAATTACGAAGCTCCAGGCTAATGTGCTCTGCAAGCCCAAAGTGCCAGGCCTCCCCAGCAGCACTCCACCCCAGCAGGATTTCTATCATTTTCTCACATCAACTTGACAGCCATGCGCCCATTCCTGGGCTACATTCACCTCCCAGACGTGGTGTTAAAAGCCAAATTGCACGGAGCTGGTTTTCTTTTCCAGTTTTAATTACTTAACGAGATTTGTTTTCCTTTATCTCTGTAAGAAGCAGATTTGAGACTCAGGTTTGATAGGAAAAAGGTGCCATATGGTTTGAAAATGGGGTTGCCAACTGCTCCTGGCTGAAGGCAGAGAGAGAAATTGAATAATGCATCTCAGAAGTGTTTATTAGCATTCTGATGAAGAGAAGTGGGAGATCTGAAAGAAAAACTTCCAGAAATGCTGGTAATTTATCCCCTGGGGAAATCAATTGCTCTTTCTTCAAAGAGCATCAGCTTCTCTGTTCAGACTCTAAGGTTGGAAACTCTACTAGAGCCATATGGAGCATTCCCCATCCCCGGAAGGGACCCGGGAAATATCTGCCGAAGGAGTTCACTCCTCTTCTGTGGGTTTGCCGGCCTGCACGTGTATGAGGGAAGCTGCTGAGATGTGCCATCGTCAAGAACGAGCACACAATCTGAAATCCATCTATGATTGATCGCTCCACAGACCCCAAGTCAAAAACTCCTGAACCAGAGTTTATGTCTGTAAAGTATCCTGCACATGCAGATGCCAAAGAGGTTCTTTCCCTCTTGTTTGCGCCCCGGGTGGTGGTACAGGTGTGGCTGCAACATCTTCTCCAGTTGCTTATCTCAGGAGCCAGGGGCCCAACAAATGTTGACTTTTTCTATCCACAAATTGGTCAGATTTGGCAAAACTGGGACTCTATCATTTATAGCAACAGTCAGCTGGGCTGAGCATCTGGAACATACTTTAGGGAGGGAATGATGGGTCTGTCACAGCTCGTCCCCACCCTCCTCAATCCTGGGAGCAACTTCACTTCTATGTATCACTTCGCCTGACTGCTGTTTTCTTATGGTAGCATTAAGTAAAAAGCTTTTGCCACTGATGATACACTGCATATTTTCAAATACAAGTTGTTTCTCTATGCTCATACATACGTAAGTTCTCCAACTGAGGGGGAGGTTGCATCCTGATAAACTCAGCATAAGTTGAAAATATTGTAGGTCAAAATGCATGTAACGCACCTAACGTATGGAACATCATAACTTCGCCTCACCTCCATTAAGTGTGCTAAGATTAGCACACATTAGCCTGTAGTTGAGTAAAATGATTCAACACAAAGCTGAGTTTATGATAAAATGTTGAATAGCTTGTGAAACTTATGAAATAACTGCATCTAATGATGCCAGCAGCAGAGTACACTGTAGAGTGCTGGTTGTTTACCCTTGTGATTACATGGCTGCCAGGAAGCTGCCTCTGCTCAGCAGCAAGAGAGTACTGTACTGCATATCAATAGCCAGGAGAAGATCAAAATTCAAAGAAGGTATGGCTTCTGTTGAGTAGTATCATTTTTATACTGTCATAAAGTTGAAAAGTCATTAAGTCAAATCATCATATGTCAGGGACCATGACCACCTATACATACATGAATACAAATATGTGGGGTATGTATGTATATGTGTGTGCGTGTATAATTTTATTTCTTCACCTTCCAAGGCATCTTTGCGATATTTGAATTTGTAACTCTACCACTCCTCACAAGGTTGCTGTGAAGATTCAGGGATCTGATGCATACAAAGTCCTGAGCACAGTGCCTGAGACACAGTAAGTGTTCCGTGTCTCTGACCAGCATCACTAGTATTTCCTTGGGACCAGTGAGCTCTTCTGGAATCCAGGGACATCTTTGGTGGCCTGCTCAGGATGGGCATTGTGTGGGACTGGGCGCCCTCTGGTGGCTGTTCTTCCCACTCACATGCCGGCTCCTCCAGACCAGAGTTTTGGGGCTAGTCCCTCGCACCCCTCCTCTCCTTCCTACACACTAGAGAAAAGTACCAAAGCTGGGCTGGGAGAAAGCTTTCCATCTTCCTCACCACTTCCTCGGCCTACTACCCGACCTTGATAAGGCTGGGGTCACTAGATCTGAGGATAGGAAGAGGGGCTTGGCAGTGGCAGCTGGAGCCCCCAACTTTCTGGGTCTTGGCTGTGAGTCTCTGGTGGTTGGTCCCCTTCCTCCCAAGGAATCCCTGGCCCAAGGGTTCGCAAGTCCACCTCCAGACAGGGTGCAGGATACCTCCAGTAGCACATCCATAGAGATCCTCCAGGTTCTTATGAGGTAATTTTATTTCTTTCCGTAGGTAAAAATAGTAAATACAAGATAATCTTAATAAAGGTAAAAATACATCATTTGGATTTTCTTGTTCTCTAAACAGTGCTACCTACAGTACAATTTTTGATTTAGAGTTTTTGAATTTTTTATAAACAAATAGAGCTATTTTGCTATTAGGCTATCTGTGTTCTCATCTGGCACTTAAGAATAGATCACAGGTCACCTCCTGGTTCTGGTTGGATATGGGAATGGGTGGGGAGAGTGAGAAAGGGTTGGTGGGACGAGGAGGTTCAGCTTCCCAGGATGCAGCCAAAGCTGCGGTCCCGTGTGTAGTGGAGGACATACATGTGCATCCAAGGTGGCCTTTGCCTGCTGTGGCTACAGGGGCGTATTTCACTGAGGTGGGCCTGAAGGTGTCGCACGTGTCACTTCCTCCCTCCTCTTACCCACCACTTAGTTTCACAACAGTTCTGGTTCCAGGCAGGCTCTTGGGCTGCAGAGTCCGTGATGTGCTCGAGACCGAGCCAGTAGGTCCCCTTGTGTCCTAGAGGAGTGGGCTGGGACCCCTCCCCACCAGGCAGTGGTGAGGGCCAGGGCATCCAGCTTGGCCTTGGAATGCTGGTAGAAGTCACAGATGCCCACCGGGCTGCTTAAATGTCTTTGCCCTTATTCACCCTCAGGTGGTCTTTGTTTAAGTTCTTTCCAAATTTCTCACTGAGCTGTTGGATCAGGTCTGCCAGCTCGCCTGTAGCTTGGGACTTCTCTTCGAGAAGCTCATAGCGCAGACTGGAGATATCTTGCTTGATCTCCTTCAGCTCCCCTGCAAGGACAGATAAGAGTTTGCTGAGTATGACTGAGGAGAAGGAAGGGGCTCATTTTCTGCGCACTGAATCTAGTCCACAGGGGTACAATTGAGGTGGTGGATACCACCCCAGCTTTCTACCACCAAAGAATGCATCCATTCAATACCCTCTTTCACTATTCCTGGATGCCTCTCCCTTCACACTTAGAAGCAGCTATGGAGATCTGGGCTGTGAGTTGTGTCTGGTACCTAATTTATGTTATGATAGAATGTTGGTCTGGGAACCATTAAGGGCAGATCTGAAGACTCAGCAGTAACCTCATTAACTGGAACATTTATTTTCATGACATTTAATGTTTTCTGTTGTATTTGAAGAGGAGAGCAACTCCAAGTGCCCAGGAGAATGGTGCGGCACAGTGGATGCTTTCAGGAAACTGGCCAGCTAGCTGCCTAGGCCAGTCTACTTAGCCTAGGAAGCAGCACAGCCTCCCTGATACAAACCTCAGTGCCACCTGATGCCACAGCCTCTCATAACCAGGGACCCCCAGGGGGACTTTCACTTTTTTATTTCCATAGTGAGCCACACGTCCAGTGAATCTAGGCTACAAGAATCCTTTTATTAACCAGAATCAAAAGGTTCTTTTCTGGTTCCAGAGATACAGGACTTGACTCAGGAGGACCATATGGCTTGTGGAAATACTATTTATTCATATCTATTTCCAGGTATGCTTTATATAAATAAAATGCAGAGATCTCAAAGGCATGGTTTGATCCATTTTGTAAAATGCATACACCCCCTATTTATTTTGATCAAGTGCTTCGCTGTCCTGTTTCATGGTGTTGTTGAAGTTGTATGACAGCCGGGTATCCTCACCTTCTGTATCAACTGCATTCAGGTCAGTCACAGTTATGCACAGCTTGAGGCTGGCTGGCTGGACACCTGGCAGTTCTCCATTTTAGATCTACAAGTGTATGGGGGTTTTCAAGGGCTGCTACCCAACCCCAAGGCAGTGTTGGCTCAAGAGTCAGTTTGGTCACCATTGAGGTTCAGCCTGAAACCTAGGTGGTCCCTCGGTGACCTGGTAGCCCCCATGGCTCAAGCAAAGGAGAGACTTAAGGTCTGCAGTTATGGGTGGGGCTGTTTCTAGGTACTAGATATTTATCCTAGGTGTGTCATAAAGATGAATGAACCGGTATAAGGTGATTTGCTTTTGACTTAGGAGTACTTGCTTAAAATAGACTGGAAAATAACTCCAAGAGTGAAAATGACACAGCTGGAAAACTTCATGTGTATGAGTCACCTGGTGCTAGAACCCAAAATGTAGACCCTCAGGCCCCGTCCTGGATATGCTGATTCATCAGGTCTGGGTGGGTCTGGGATCTGCAGTTTTAACAACTAGTACTGAGGAGGGGATACTTAGAGCAACACTGCTCATTGTGAAAGACTGAGACCCTGACACTGAGACAAGATGGGGGTGACTGGCACTCAGCCAATGGTAGACTCTGAAAACGGTATGCAGACTGCTCCCTCTGTGCACCCACGGAATGAAGTGGTCACCGGAACTCTGGGCCATCCTGAACTCAAGGGACCTGAGGGTGACACAAGGCAGCCATCACCGTAGGAGGTATAGTAGTGTCTCCCTCATCCCTGATGTCTTCACCCTCACCTCTGGTGTTTTACCTGAGAACATGGTATGCTCATGGCAAACAGGAAATAAGGCTGCAGATGGAGTTAGGGTTGCTGGATTATTCGGGCAGAAACAGTCTAATCACATCAGTTCTTAAAACTGAAGAGGGAAGCACAAGAGTGGGTCAGAGACATGGGATGAAGGTGCCAGGCAGGAGAGGTGCAGCGTGACACAATGCAGGCTCTGGGCCGGCTGACAGATGGACCCACGTACACACAAGTACTGGGGAGTGTCCCCTGGCTTTGGGCTCAGGGCAACCAGTGCTACACTGGCAAGGAAATGGAATCCTGGGTCCTTCCTCTTCATAGAAATGTGTACTGACCATGGCGAACAAGTGAGGAAGCTGATCTTCCGCAAGAGCCTCCCGACAGGAGCCCAGCACCCCAGCCACACCATGGTTTCTGCACTGGGAGAGCCGTCCCAGGCTTCTGGTCTACAGAGCTTGATGTTTTAGAGCCCGTGTTTGCGGAGATGCAATCACTTACCTTCATTGACTTCATCATTTTCTCTGTCCACTTGGGCCTTCAGCACGTATCTTTTTATGAGCCGTTTCATGATTTTCTGAAATGAGAAGTAAAGAAGGGCTCAGACATGCCTGATCCACCACCTCCATGGTGTAGCACAGGGCCTTCTCCCCACAGGCAACTCAAGGGTCAATGGGACTCCCACACCTGGTCCCTCACTCTGGAGGGGAGCCCTGCTTAGTGGAGGAGCCTGGCCAGTCCCTTTGTTTAACTCCCTGTCTTGCAGGATCCAGTGTCCACCTGGCCCTGGGATATAAGACCGGAATACTGATCAGTGGCAGGAGGCTAAGCCATGGGGGGAGTCATCTTGATTGTACAGCACTGCTGAAGGGTCCTGGACCAATTCTGCCCTGACTAGTCACATCCTCTTTTCTGGACATCAGTTCTATTTCAAGCAGAAAATCCTAGGGCATCTTAGCAGGCAGCCCAGGTGGAACTGCATCCTTGGCAGGTGACGGTGAGAAGTGTGCCATTAATAAGAGGAGACTCACTTTGTACAGAAGTCAGAGCCAGACTTGGAGGACAGGGCCATTGCACCTTGGAAGATTCTAGCCAGCATCAGCAGCAGTTATAGCCAGGCCTCTCTAGGTTTTGTGGAGAGACTACTTCCCACAGAATCCCACAGCCTGACCCTGTGTGGCCAGTCATGCTGTATGAGAGAGGTTTGCTCTCGGGTTTCACTTATTATGCAGGTTTTGTGTTCTTTAAGCAAAGGAGGCATGCATAAACACTTAAGAGACGCCAAGAATAGAGGCAAGTGTAAGAAAGTCTGCGGGAGGTGAACTTTGGATTTTGCCAGCTAGTCATTTCAGGATTTAAAAATATTCTGGAGTCTGAGACTTCTAACTCTTACTAGTGGTGGACAGCATGGATTTCCTTGCTCCTTGGTCCTTCCCTTTGGTGACATGCTCCCCTGCTCACACCTAGGCAGGAGGACAGATAAAGCCTTTTCTACATGGAAGAAACCTCATCTGAACTCTTTCCCTGCAGGTTGCTGACTTCTGTCTGACTACACAGGCTCTAGAAAAGCTTCCTGTAAGTTAAAGGGAATAGAATTGGGTGCAAAGAGCTGTAAGACTCAATTCATTTCAATCACCAAGTGATGGCTTTCGCCATTCTTTTAATAGTGAAGACCTTGCCAATGAAATGACTCCAGACTGAGATTCCTAGGCTTCTTGTGTACGCTCCTGAGTTAGCTCACTCAGGCCAGCCTGCCCATCTGCTGTGGTCTTCTTGCTGCTCTGCTTCAGACACCTGCATCTTAATCATATCAGTGGTTAAACTGCAGAGCTGGACTTCTCAGGGACATTCCTCCAGTCAGGGTAGAAGATGATCTAAGTTATAAGAATGTACCTTTCCATTGGACCCAGTGATGATGCTTCCACTTCACTGGGAAAAAGAGAACAAAACCATTGTCCTCATCTAGATCACATGGAAAAAACCTGCGGATAGGTGAGTATCTAGCGTTTTCATTGAATAAGTTCAGAAATATTCTTCTACTGCAAAATTTCAGGCTGATACAAGTGACAGGGGCTTCAGGTTTGCTGCCTTTTCAAGACAAACCTCAAAATTAAGTTTCTGGATCCATCTATTAATTAAGAGCCTTACTGTTTATGATGGTAACCAATTAGCCAGAGCCTGCAAGTGGAGTGGCATTGAGTCAGAGCCTTTCACAGGTACAGCGGCATTCAGTCACAGTCCTTCCTGTTCAGAGTGTGCTGTTTCAGGGAAGTATGATTAAAATGATGATTTCAAAATATCCTATGGGCTATGTTTACCATTATTACAAAATATGCCCTGCAAGCTCCTTTCATTGTGAATATATGGCATCCTGCTCACAGCCTCCTTCAGTGCAAAGTAGCCCTGAGGAGGAAGGGAGACTGGATAAAACAGAGAGAAACACACACATTCAGTGCTTCCTCTACACAGGGTTGTGTTAGGCTCACTCACAAAAGGGATCTCCCTGAATCTTCCCAGAAACTCAATGAAAAGATCGCTGCTATCTCCGTTTACAGTAGATGAGGACACCCATGAAGCCTCAAAGAGCGAGGTGACTTCTCCAAGGTCACATAGATGGAAAGTGGTAGATGTAGGCCAAAATGGAAAGGAAATCAGTGCTTTCTGAACTTCAGAAAAAAATTAAAATCAAGCTGGTTGAAGGAATGAGATTCATTCCTCATCAACTGGCTCTCACTTGTCAGGCAGGGTTTGGGCTACTTCTAAATACCAAGACATTTTATGCAAGAGGATGCCTCACTTAGTTTCGGGGGTGGGCGACTTCATGCAGTGGTTACTCTTTGGAAAGTGGGTCACGCAGGGCATTACCAAGACTGCTTCTGGCCCATTCTTGGGTACTGGCACGCCTGAGCTGAGTGGGTTTTCTTGCAGACCTGGGATCCAAAGGGTAGAAAAGCAAAGGTTTGTTTTTAAGTCCTCAGTGTGCATTAGACTTATAGAGGCTCCAGGTAGACACATCCATGAGCAGAGCAGATGTGCAGGAATGTTTGACCTTTCTTCTCAACCGCAAGTTACTGCCAGTGGCAGGTTCCTTCATGGGGAACACTGTGATCACTTGCTGTCCTTAGAGACACTATGTCCTCATAGGAACCCAGCATCCCCCAGTTAGACCACTTGGAATCGGCAAGAGCAAGATGCTAGTCTTACCACTAGGAAGTGCAAAATGGTTGGAAAATCCCAAAAGTTCTACTTAACCTGGCTACCATGGAGGCTATCTGTTACCAGATGCCTGTGGATATAAAAAAATTTCCGTCCTTCACTACGGGAGGGAAAGTGTGTTCTGCTGTGATAAGTTTGGGGTATCCTTTGGCTTTTTCAGAGTACTTTCAAGTTATGAAGATGAACTTTGAATAAGTTAATATGACCCTATTGACAACTGTCCTGCCTCTTCCCCCATCCTTAGCAGGCACTGGGGATGAGTCTATTTAGGAATATTATCTTGGCAAAGGAGACTCAAGTGGGTGCAAATGAAGTGTACAATGGGTAGAAATTGCTGCCTCACAGAGACCTACATCCAGGGAGGAAGGAACACACTTTTCCCTGTGCAGACTCCAAGGGGCTAGGCATCCTCCCGCTGGTGCTAGTGGAAGGGAAGACAGAATACCTTCCACAGGAAGGATGAGGCTCCCTGTGCAGCCGTATGGCTAAGGACACAAACAAGGAAGAGAACACATACTGTGTGTTGAAGATGGTCAACGAAGTAGAATCCAGATGGAAGAATTGTTGCCACCTAGGAAGAAAGAAATTGAGCAACGTTTGGAAGAGAGTGGAAAAATGAATCCTAGGACAAGTCATTTGTTAGATAGGGGCTCTTGGAGACACCAGAATAGAAGACATAAGCACTGGCAAGTTTTCTGTTCTAACTTTGATCTCTGCAGCTAACAACATCTACAAGGGAAAAAGTGAGGACTCCCCACTGAGTTTGGGGGAAAAGGCAGCATCATAAAGATTGTGGTTCATTTGAATGATAGACTTTGTCTGGATTCTGTGGTTTATTTGAGAGGAGGCTTTTTTGTCAATGAAGAAGTGTACCTCTCAGAGAATACGTACGTGGGGTCTATAACTTACTCCTCTCCCCAGTTTGACACAAGGTCACAAGGTAAGTTTGAGAAGAGGCACATTTTGGCCATCTCACCAATATTATGATTTTATTCCATTGTTTGGTCTCCTGTCCATAGGGCCCAGATTGGAAAGAGACATCACAAAAGCAAGAAGTTAGTTTTTGTGGAAAGTAACAACTGAGACTCCTGGAGCCTGGGCAAGAGAAAGCAGAGAGCTCCCGAGTCTGCCATGCTGGCTTCCTGCACAACAGAGGGTGCCACAAAATGGAAGGATGGGCAGGCATAAAATAAATGCTGAAAACATCCTCCTTCACAAAGAGCAATGGAAGGGACAGAAAGGAAGCAAGTTTACTAACTGAATGTGTCTGAAAGACTATTGGGTATTCTTGGGAGTGCTAGAGGATTTCTTTGGAACCAAGGCAGTGAGGCTCACGTACTCACTGAGACGGCAGTTCTGGGGACAGCCTGGAGAAGAAGGAAGAGCAAACTGGGCCCTCATGTACTTTGCACATCTGGGAACTATTATGGGATGAAAGCAATGTGGAAGGCCCCCAAGTGGGCCCAGGAAACAGATGCACATTGCCAGATTCCTGCATGTATCCGTCCCTCAGTTTCTGCTGCTGCAGCTGGTGATAGCCAAGGGACACGAGTGCCTCCTGCTCATCGTGGCTGCCTTAGGCTTGGAGGGCTCTGACAGATCTACCTGAGTGATCATGAACCCAGGCAAGGCAGGTTCTGAGGAAGAATGAAGATGGATGACAGGCAAGTACCTGGGCAACATGGTGTGGTGAAAGAGTCAGACACATCACAGTTCAACAAGCTGTGTGAACCAAGACACAGAGCCTCAGGTCCCTCAACTGGTAAATGGGGTGAAGAGAATGTGACAAGACTATACCCAGTTAGTGTCTTGCCTGTTTCCAACTGACCTTTAGGGTCTTTATCAGGTTTCCTCCTATAGTGAGCAGATAGTGATGGCTCAGGAAGATGCCCAGACTCAGCGTAGCAGGTTGAAACAAAGGGTGCTTGTGCAAATAAATGCAGGGTGCCCTAGCTCTTAGCCCCACTGTCCCTCTGATGCCTGCTAACCAGGTTTTCATTCTTTTCTGTGACAACTATTTGAATCAGTATCCTGGGGATTTTCTCCTTGGATTCACAAAATACAAGGTGAGCAGAGCTTTCCAAGGTCATCAACAGCTTGAAGCTGCAAACCAACCAATCTCTGTAATCACAGCAGGACATTCTCAGGGAGATTTAAAGAGGAAGGATTCAATTGGCAATGATGGAAGACAAACAAGATTGCTCTGAGGCTGATTTTGAAAACAGTCTTGTTCAGAAAAAGATTCATTCTGGGTACAGGACATTCACACATAATCAGTCTCTCTTTATCTCAGGAGCCAATTCTGCTCAAAACCAGGAGAGATATGGCCCTAACCCATTAGAGTTTTCTATCTTTTCTGTGACATGTCATCTTTCTCTGAGAAGCTGAGAAATAGAAATCCTTCTGCTGATCAAAAGATTTGGCCTGTAAAATAACTCAAAGCAGATCAAACTGGGCAGTCCCAATTTTGTGCACGATTAAATACATTTTTCTGTTGCCAATTTTTAGCCCATGTCATCTGATAAAACTATAAGTGCTTTGGGGGATGAGCCATTTCTTAATTGTACAATTACATTCTCCTCACTGCACAGCTAGCTTCTGAAATATGTATGGAGAGATTCAATTAGAGACCTGTGTCTGGAAGATGCTAAGTCTGTAATTGCTCCCCATGGGAAGCTGGCACTAGGGGACAGTCACCTCGACCCAAAGGAGCAGTCAGGACAGCTTCAAATTTATATCTGATAAGAAAGGGTCCATGTGGATAAAACTGCTGATGGTAGAGAAATAGAAGGCTGGAAAAGAATGGCCTGTACTTTTATAATCAATAAATTGTAGTTACCACTTATCACTGACTCATGTGCTGGTTCAAACTCATACTGAAACTTGGCATTCATTACTAAAGGCAATGCATGGATCTCCAGCAAAGAAGGCCTTTTTGTAATTTTTCTAATGACAGATGTGGTGGGCTGGCAGTCTAAAGATAGGTCTTTAGTAAAGACCCCAACATACATTTGGTTGCTTACCACACATATCTGGGAGTTATGCTGAGTGCTTCTTCTCCATCCCCCAAGAATAACCCCAGCACCAGGTCTCACTGGTAATATGCCAAGAACATATATGGAATCTGCCTTTCTCTACTGCCCTACGGAGGCCCCAGTTGAAACCACCATTCTATGTACCAGAATGACTGTTACATCTTCCTCACTGGTATTCTGTTTACTCTCATTGAGACATAAATACAAATTGACACGATGCTGTGGTGATTGGCAGGAGGGTCCTGCTCCCACCATTGATGGCACTCAGGAACTGGAGACCAGCAGGTGTGCCAGTGACACAGTAGGACCCCGGTTAGAGCACATACAATGGACAGGTGGGACTGGTGACACAGACAAGTCTGGAGCAATGGTAACAATATTAGCCATCAGGTGGTAAGCTAGGTGAACTAGCTCTGTGTTTGGGGACCAAGACAGGAGAAATAGAAGTGGGCAGGTAGGGCCACCCCCTCTTTCTTTTCTTTACTTTTCCCTCTTTTTTCCCCTTTTCTTTTTGCTTTTTAAATGGCTGGGAACAACTCCAGCCCCAGAAAACTAATCCCATCCCCCAAATCCAGAGACAAAGATCAGACCTCAACCCAGCACAAATCTATCTGCAATCTTGGCTAGAGTACACATTCTGGGATCAGACTTGGGCCTACCACAGAACTATAGACACTAGAGGAATCTCACTATTTTTATTTTTTTCTTCCTGATGGTTTTTCCTCTTGGCAGTCAGCTGGGTTAGTGTGTTTTTTTGTTTGTTTGTTTTCCTTTTTCTTTTTGTCTTTTTCTCTGTGTTATGTTCTGCATTGTTTTTATTTTCTTTATGTTTGTTGTTCTTTTCTCTGTGTGTGGTTATTTTTGTTTCCTGTTTTTCTTTCCTCTCTTTTTAATTTTATTTCTCTTTTCTACCTTCTTTTCTCTCTCATTCACAATTTAGATCACTAAACTTTCTCTTTGTATTATTCTACTCATCCTCTTCCTGTCTTTTCTCAACTATTTCACTTGATTTTATGAGACTTTCATGTGAGGAAACATTTCTCTTTCTGGTTCACTTCAGTGAAGTGAACCAAAACCTATACTTTCTCTTCCAATCTCTCCCCCTATCCTACAATTACCCAAAACTTGGATGATCATCCTATGCCCACCAAACTTGCTACTACTATGTTTAACTTCATCCATCTCTCTGTCCTTCCCCCTACCCCTCTTAAATCCCTCCACAACTGGATAAAATCACTCTACTAAGTGGAAAAACACTGCATACAAATTCTTGGTATAAGTTGGATTATGTTATATAACTATAGAGCTTGCTTCTATTGTTGAAGAAATCATGCTAATAGTTAATACAGTCTGTCAGTAGCCAAACTGTGCTTCAGTCTATTGTTATTGCTAACTGTACAACTTTAACCAGGATGCCATATCTGTTATAATCAGCTTTTCTCTACTGTATGACCACACTGCAATTACAAGGGGTCATAACCATCACCATAGTCCAGTACCGAAGGAATGGGCCTTAAGTCAAATTGATAGCAACTCCACATTCTTAATTTATTCAGAAGGTAGGTTCTTGGGATAGACATAAAGACCAAGAACCACTTATATTTAAAAGACAACCTGAGAAACAGCCATCTCCTAGGAAAACCTAGACACCAGGAATAAAACTATCTAACACAGGAAATCCAAAAGCATCAACACAGAAAAGGAAACAAAATAAAAAAATAGAAAACAAAAAGAGGAAGAAGTAAAATGCAAACCCAAATGCCTAGCCCACCCAGGACAAGTCTAGAGCACAAAGAGATAGAGGAAATCAGAAGCCAACCTCTGGAGCTCTCTGAAATGACAGTAACAACTGTGAAAAAAGGAAGAAGCCATAGAAAAAATAATATTTAAGGTGGAAGAAGAAATGATAATCAAAATGAAAGACATTAAAGGAGAGACAAAAAATAGAATTTAGGAAGATGATGGAAACCATGAACAGCATAGACAAGAAGTATCATCAATGAAACAGATCCAGATAGAAATCCAGGGGATTAAAAACTTCACTGAAAGTATCCACAACAGATTGAATGAAGGTGAGGATAGAATATCAGACCTAGAAGACTAGAATGTGACTAGTGATCAGGAAAAGATAATCTTAAAAATAGCAAGGGACCATGAAAAAAATCAATCCAACAGCTACAAGATGATGCAAAGAAGAACAATTTCAGATTGATTGGAGTCAATGAGAAACCTGGAGACAGAGCAAAAGCCATTAAATATCTCTTTACAGAAATAATGGCAGAAAACTTCCCAAATATGGATAAAGTATTTGACATACAAACAAATGAAGCACATAGAAATCCAAATAGCCATGACCAAAATATATCTACACCAAGGCATATAATAAAGAGTCCAGAAATTTAACACAAGAGCAAAATATTAAAAGCAGCTAGAGAAAAGAAACAAATCACCTATGAAGGAAAGTGCAGCAGAATCACAGCAGACTTCTCAATGCAAACCCTCAAATCAAGGAGAACTGGAATGAGGTATTGCAAGC